AAGTTTCTGATCCCAGACGACATAGATACCTGGAGTCCTGTTATGCACGCCTCTGTGAGAAGCCACTAGTTTGCACCTACCTGTAAACTGTTTGGCTGGTTTATGGACATGATAGGCAGAGTAGCAAGTGAGGACGTTCATCGTGGACAAATTGGTGGTACAAATGCGGGCCTAGAGAGCAGCCCCCCGCTGCGATATTAGGTTGTTATATTTTTGTATCCGCAAAGCAAACTGGAATCACGTACGCATCATTTGACAACCATGTACTTTGGCCAGCCGACGCATTCAACCATGCGGCTTACCTGAATAATACCGTACAATAGATTTTGCATTCATCATATTGCTAGCACATGGATTCCGCCAAGATCCTGAATGCTGCGTCCATAGACCCTGGAGTTGTTTCTTACCTCACTGGCTGTGGGCTGTGCACGCACAATCTAAAGAGTTTAGTTTGACAAATGTGAACATCGGCCGTCTAGATAAAGCCAACACTTCAAAGCATACTATACACTGGGCAAGCGGGGTTGCTTACTCAGAAATGAGCGCTGCACATGTCGTACTATCGCTACGGGAGAGAAATCCGGGAGGGTGACGGCAGCCTTCTAAACGTTGTCCGTTGAGTGACTGGTTGTGCGTCTTTCCTTCATTTAGGGCACTTGGACTTGATACATATAATACTGCCCTGCCCTCCTGTTGCAACTGACAGGGTGAGGTAAATTCACGCCAACTCTTTAGGATCCCTGGTGCAAAGAATCAGGTTACGGCAGCAAAGCATCAGTGTTGAACGGTGGCACAGTGCAGTCAATAACGCTATTGAAACACCCGAGTGCCATCAGCAAGTAACTTCACTTGTGCTCTCCACATAGCGGGGGCTTCCTTGTGTATACTTGGTTTCAATGTTTTGGATCAGTTTGTTTCAAGCCGTAAGAATTATTCGTCGATGCTTTCTTATATTGTCTCCCCTTCAAACACACGTGTTTGTCAGGTTACATTTGGCCCGACTGGATTGTCAATATTTTTGAGGGCCTACTTAAACAATTAACTCGTGTGACGGACAGACATCGGGAGCGTTTCAGTGGTGTGCGTTAGCTAGTTTCTTCGGGATGTCCACTATGATCGACGCGGATCACGTCTAACCAGCTTCTCAGAACCTTTTACACTTAACGCGTGTTAGTAACAAGCATCAGCTAGGGCTCATCCGATTGTTAACTATGACAAACGTAGATTACATTTGGCCAGCTTAACAGATAATTTGTACTCCTAGGCGCATGTTAGTCGTGTGCGTCAGCTAAGTCTCCATAGCTGTATTTTGCGAACAACCACAGCCTTCTTCATTTACTTTGGGACGCAGTGGTACGTTTTATGGTGAGCGGCTCGCCACGCACATCTCTCTCCGTGAGAGGTATGGCAAAGAACTTGGGTCTGTAAACTGCTATTTTTCACGCCCGTTATCATCTTCACTTTCTTTATCAATATCAGTCACATCACTGTGCGAAGTTTGTTTTACTTAATTACAACCGAAACCGCCCACTTCTGTGGTCCAACGTGACTTTGATGTGACTGTTGAGTGACTGTTGTTGTGACTGCTGGTTGGCTATAATTGGCTGCTACTAACTCTAAACATGAATAAAAATTTTAGCTACTAACACCGGACTAATCTATTCACACCTGTGGATATATATTGCAATCACCGGAGATTTGGAATACCGGGAAAAGGGAACTTTTCTTCTTGGTCTGGTGGTTCAACGGAATACCGAACTACGGAATCTCCTATTTTGAACTGCGAGTCAAGATTTGCTTGGATTTTCCTCCTTGTATTTTCGTATCTGGCTTATATCAGTAATTTTTCCTACTCAGTAGTGACTCCATAGGGCCGTAAACTGCCACAGGTCTTCTGTACAGAACCTGCTGGGTTTCGCCATTTGCAAATGACAACTCGGTTGCCAGCAAACAGGACCTGAGGACTTCCATGACAACATCAAACATTATCATGTGCAAACCTTGCGAAATTCAGCTCTAGTAGAACTTTTTCGAACATATTAAATGTGTCTATAGCGACGACTGCACCAAAGAGCTATTCTGGAGATCCGAAAACGCAGCGTTTGGTGTCGCTTTATTCAAACTAAAGACAAAATTCAGTTACCGGAGTAGATGTTTCGCCTACTTTGCGTCCACGAGTACAACTTACACTCAAGGAAGTTTCAGAACCTATGACAGCTTCAGAACTACATGCGCCACATCTCATATAAGCGGAGTCATCATTGCTTCTTTCTTTGGCCGTCAGCGAAGACACATCAGTTGTCTCCACACATGGTCCACAAGTTCCATGGTCGGTGGGGTCAGCTGTGCGGAGACGACCAGCAAAATTCATTGACATACTGACCGTCTGAGAGTAACACAAGAGCCCCGTAACGACTAAAAATGCAGAACTTCCTGTCTCAAGCTGCACTTCATCAAAAGTGGCCCATCCGATTGTGCACTCAGTGGTCACTTATGATCCAAATATCTAAGTCCACAAATCCGATAACATCCGGTCAGTCACGCTGATAGCGCATGACCAAGGAATTTACACGAACACGAGGGTGAACTGACTGCGGTCTTATAAGCCACGTAAGTTTCGACCAATCGGAAGGCCGTGGGCTATATTCCAGATGCAGTCATCTGAAAAAAAGCAGTACCCACCCGAGGGTACGGCATAGATCTCCGGAAATAAATTATGTAAATTGTTTCATGCCATTTTCTCGCTTGCGCTGAAAATTTATTTTTCTTCCAGGTTTATGCGATTCAACATTCCACTCGCCCCTGACTCACACCAAGCAACAACTCTTAACTCTGCTAGCGAACTCCTCAGATCCCAACCATCGAACACATCGGAGAAAGAAATGAATGCCTGTACACAATCTGCCCCACTCTATTCAGCAGATTACTCAACATTTAGCAGTCTGCTCACCATGAGTAAGCGTCCGTAATCGTGCTTACAGAAACTTGGCTTATATCACGTGCTGGTGTTGTTCTCTACTCCTATGGTGTCAAGACGTTTGCAAACCAATTTCAAAACTCGTCATACAAATCAGCAGCTACCTGATCCACAACCAATCATATCAGGTGTCTCTGAACCAGAGATCCTGATTGAAGGGTACTTCATTTTCCAAGCTGACTCGAAATGTGGCAGGGCAGATTGGGAAGCTTCTTACACATGCTACTTAAACAATCCTGTGACCCCCTCTGACACCACTGCAAAGCTCTTCGTTGGTGCACTTTCGAATTAATTCACGCTGCGTCAGACAGATTCTTCTCTTCTCCGTCACCTAACTCAACTACATAGGATGATTGCCAGTTCTGAGTACAAACACCTTGTCACCGGCCTCCAACTTCTAGTTTAATGAAGGATTTCAACCCTTCGAATGCCTCCTGGCCTTCAGTACATTGGGTCAAATGAGCATTTTGCATCGGTGACGTACAAGTTTATTAAGGAGAGCTTTTGACTCAGCTCGACAGCCCATTCGTCAGTTGACAGCAGGAAATACCCATCTCTGCGAACAAGCCAACGATAAATTTCCGCCCTTTGCCATTAATGTAAACTTCGCCGCACAACTTGGAATTCCAATACGAGCGTGGAAATTTAACTTGTTGAGTCGAGTGGTCTCTGCATGCAGAAATCAGGTATGCAAGTGGTAGTCGCATGCAGCGGTCAAAGGCTCATGTACAGGTAGCAGCGTGTTGTAAACCATTTGGGAACATTCGGTGGTTTCCACAAAGGAGCCAAATGTTATTACAACGTGCAACTAACCTCGCACCTGGTGATACATCAGTTTTCGATTGTGTGTACCAGGGTGTTCAAGGACCTGGTCGGTGGTTATCACGCCGTAAACGACGCGAGAGTTATAGCCAAATAACAAACACAACACCACACATACCAAACAAACTACGGCGACAGCATAACACCACACATACCAACCAAACTACGGCGAGAGCGATGAGTGAAGTGCGCGCCACACTTGTGAGGGCCGGAAGGCCATCTGCATGTTACGATCTGGGCTATCGGTATGGCGTATGGGTCTTGTAAACTGGCCTTTTGTCCCCTCAAGACGATGAGTGTTCCCGAAAGGTGAAATTCGCGTTTTTCATGAATGGTCGACTTGCTACAGATTTGGCGACTCACGATCTTGCTCAAAAGCAATGGCCTAATGGAACAATCCTCCTGATGGAGCACAATTTTTTTCCATCCACGTGAAATGTGTACGCAAAGTACAAATTATTTATTGGAACGTAGGCATATATGACCGGTGGTCTGACTTTCATGCCAACATAAACAAAAGAGGCGTACAGCTTGCATCTTTTTGCAGAGGTCTGTTGATCGAAGAAATTTTACCCAAGGAGACTCGCGCCCTGCATTACACCAACACTTGTGCCGCCTGGAAAAT